TAAGAAATTGTATTGTAATTGCAGCTGTATTTTAGTTTCTGCTCTATTGACTGACGGATTACTTAACGGGACGCCTCCAGTTTGTCATTGTTGAGAGACGCCTCTCTTCCATGGCACATAGACAACTTGGTGTCCATCAAAAGTCGGTACTGTCTCCACTTATGTAAACGTCCTCCAACCTACCAACTCCGTCTGTGTAACGTGCGCATATGATATCGTTCTCATTTCTGCCATCCATTGCGAATCTGAATGATACGATCTACAAAATGCTAAGGTCGAAGCGACTGCCTGAAAATCAACGGCAAGGAGAATGCACATCTAACAGTGGTTATAAAGGACACAACATCAAAAGGAAAATTTATTCGGCTGAACGTCGGCAAAAACAAAACACGGTTCAGTTCTAGAAGGCAGCGCCGTACGCATTTGGGAATCACCAAGAATAACAATTTAAGCTGGAACAAACTAAGTTATTATAAAATTCTCGCAGATACAAAAGTCATTCTATGTGCTGCAATTGTCACGGTTTGTATTATGTCATTTCAGAGTGATGAAATACGGTTCTTTCAATTGGAGTGTTACATTATTAGCGTCACCTGCGCAGATCCAGTCATCTTTGCTGTTCTATGAAAGTTTCTTTGCGAACACAGATCCATTTACGCCTCTACGTTTACCATATGTACAGTAATTAAAGTTTCAATAAAAACAACTGTTAATTTTTTGTTTACGCATGTTCTAATGCTTATGCTGCAACTTCACTAAATGTTTTACAATGAAAACAACTGACTTAACACGTTAAAAACGTTTGATACATCTAAATACGTGATAACTGCGATAAAACTGATAAAAAGGAACCGTTCCTATGGTTATGATAGTATATTATTCTAATATTCGTAAACAAATTGTGGCGATTTTTGTGAGAACCGAAAATCGATCAGAACCGTTTGCACTGCAATTAATAAGTTTCTTAATTAAGTTTTAAATTTATGATTAAAATAAGATTAACAAATCTCTCCTTTACGCAGTTTTCATGCAATGTTAGTAAATCAAATGATAGGTCGACGCAGTGCTTCGATTTTTCGCGGGAATGGGTTCCCTTCGTTTCGCCTAACCTCCTTCAGACTAGAAGGGTAAGCTGCAAGATGACGGAGAAATATAGCACATGTGGTAACAAGAGGACTCGAAGAACATTTAAAAATGCGCTCAGCGGGTTTCGCACAAATAAGACGCAATGAAGTAGTAATTAATAAAGCAGCCAATCCCTGCTTTTACTAGTTAACGGAAGCAACAAACTTGGGTGCCTTAAACATATCCCAAAGTAATAATCGATGACAGAAGCAATGTAAGTGAGGGCTACCGAACAGCGGCGGAGCTCCCATAAATAAACAGACATGGAGCGCGCAGTCGTCGCGTGCAAATGGCATTAACGCCTGAAAACGACATGCCTGAAAATTAGATACCTATTAATACGGATAACTTGGAAAAGCCAGGTGGAAAGTTTTTCGGAATTTCCGGTTGAACAGATGTCGGCAGTCCTTTCGCCTTCGCCATGTTATAGTCGCCCGAGTCGAAAAACTTTCGCTGGTACAGGCGTTTTTGCAAAAATTGTGATGGTTTACCCTTGACGGCGGAAGGATATTTTGCACGCAGCTTCATTTCTTCCAGTTTCTCGGGAACCGTCTGAAAACAAACAACCATGAGTGCACGGTAATCGTAGCAAGTTTCACAAGCGACTAGTAGGCATGAATAATTTTCTGCCTCAACACCAAACCGCAACGGCGTGCCTCCTCAGGTTCAGTACGCTTGGCGAACGACACCGACTTCAGCTAGCCGCGATTCGTTCGCTGTCAACTCCAGCTGACCCGTCCCGCTCAGCAGTTTGAAACTTGAACATGGCTGAAAAAATCTACAGCGAGATTCATCAGCATGGCATGCTAGGGGCAGCTGCTCGGTACCCACGGGCAGAAACCGATCAGCAAACCTGAGGTGCGCTGTTGACTACGCTTACCACATGCACAATCAACATCGCTGCAAGCAAACCTTTTCCTTCGAGA